AGCTTGGAAACCTTGGGCTGCAGCTTGCTGACTCCACCAGCTACATGAGCTGTGTGGACTCAGCTGAATCTCTTCTCAAGTAGGTATTTCCCCTGTAAAATTGCAGTTTTGACAATTTCTGATGGCTGAGAAGACACGAGAAGGGATCCCCAACTGTCTTGAGTTTGCCTCTTCCTCATCCAGCACCTTTGTCCCTCGGCAGGTTCTACCTGAGCTGCATGGGCTATCCAGCCTGTAAAACTGCAGTCTGGTTCCCTGATTTTGTGGTGGATGTGAGCAGAGACGAGAGCATCTGTGATGTGTGTAAACCCCATCCAGTTCACAGGTAGGTCATGCCAGTTATCCCTTGTTGGACATTGGGGCAGAGACTTCCATGGGCTAGGATGGGCAACCATTTTCCATTCCAGTCTTGGAAAGCTGGAGCAGCACTTGGCTTGGGGATGGGAGGAAGAGGAGTTTGGGAAACTGGCCTCCTTAGAGTAGAATCAAAATAATAAAGTCCAAGTATAAATTGAGGTCTGTTGATGAGAAACTGGCAGACTTTGACTCTTACTTTCCCTGCAGACTGAAGTTTAAATTCAAGAAGGGCAGTGTTCCCCCTGTGATGCCCCTGGAGTTTGTTGGCTGCATTGGAGGCTGTGATGAGATGCTGAAAGAGCTTTTGGACCTCAAGTACTTGCACAGATCATCCCAACCTGCACCATCCACCCCCCAACCCGGGCATCACCTGCAGGCCAACCACTCCCTGAACAGATCCACCAGTGAGACCAGGCAAGCCAGGGGGACCTCAAACCAGGCACGGGGACACCTGCTCTCCATCAACTCCTCCAGGACCCCCAGGGCTGCTCCTCCAGCTGCTCCTCCAGCTGCTGCAGACGATGGCAATGCTGTGGTGTGCAACTGTGGCAGCGAGGCGCTGCTGCTGACCGTGCGCAAGGACGGCCCCAACAAGGGCCGCCAGTTCTACAAGTGCGGCTCCGGCTCCTGCAACTTCTTCCTCTGGGCTGACGAGCAGCCACAGGACAGAGGCAGCTCCACGCCGCTCCAGCCCGCTGCTGGGAGAACCCCAGCAGGATTCCAGAGGCCAGGAGGAGGCAGGGAGCCCCTGGGAAGCAGCAGCTGGGACACTGGAGGTGGCAGTGGCGGTGGCACGGTGTGCAGGTGTGACCAGCCCGCGGTGACGCGCACCGTGCAGAAGGACGGCCCCAACAAGGGGAGGCAGTTCCACACCTGCCCCAAGCCCCGGGAGCAGCAGTGTGGCTTCTTCCAGTGGGCAGATGAGAACGTGGCACCAGGTATGGCCGGGCTGGGGGCGCTCTCCAGGGCTGCAGGCTGTTCTTCAGCTGAGCAGAACAAGGAGATGCTGGAGGGGGTCCAGGAGAGGCCACAAAGGTGGTGGGGGCTCTGAAGCATCTCTCTGGCTGAGGGAGCTGGGCCTGTTTAGTCTAGAGAAGAGAAGACTGAGAGGGGATCTCATTAATGCATGTAAATATCCCAGGAAAGGATGGTGCCAGGCTTTTTTTGGTGACAGGATGAGGAGCAGTGGCCAGAAACTAAAACACAAGAAGTTTGACCTCAACATGAGGAAGAACTGCTTTACATTAAAGGTGGCAGAGCTCTGGAACAGCTGCCCAGGGAGGTGACAGAGTGACCCTCTCTGGAGACATTCAAACCCACCTGGCATGCCAGGGAAACTGTGCTGCTCCCTCTGCCCCAGTTTGGGGGTACAGGGAAAGGGCAAGTCATTCTGGAGCTTTGATCAGAGATGAAACTGTGTGGAAAGATGCTGAAAAGAAAAATAATGACAAAACAAGGGTGCAAAAGAGAGAGAACTGACAAAAAGGGACATAACCAGGTACAGAGGGGAAGATGTGGTCTGTGAGAGATCTCCCTCCTCAGACATTTGAGCCTGAAGGGGCAAAGTCAAGCTTTCAAGACTACTTAGACCCCAAGTTCTTCTCTGCCATGTTTTGTTTCTGCTTCAGCTGCAGACCAGAGCATCCAAGCAGGCAGATCAGCTTCCCCTGTGCTGTTCCCACAGGTCTCTAATGCTGAAAGACAAATGGCTAACATTTCACTGTTCAGACAAGTCTGAAGCAAACACAGGTTCAGGAATAATCTAGAATCTTTGATCTGCTATTTTGAACTTACCTTGTGTTTCTCACCTATTTATGTTTTCAAAGATCCTTAAATTCAAGTTGTTTATCTCTAGGCCCTTCTGGAGATGACTCTTTGAACCACTTTGGCAGCAATGGATACTCCAGAGGCTTGGGAAGCAAGGCCAAGAGACCAGGCAATCTCCCCTCAGCATCTGCTGCCAAGAAGCCACGGACCTGCAGCATTTGCCACCAGCCTGGACACACGAGGAAAACCTGTCCTCAGAACCACTGAGCTGGGATGGAGCTCTGAGAGCCTGCAAGGACCAGGGCTGTGAACTCTGCACAAGGAACTGGACTTTGGGAACAAGTCCCTTGAGTGTTTTTTGGAGGGGCTGGCTGCAGGCTGCTCCTGCCAATGGATGCCATTTGTTTCAGCAAGGGTTCAACCAGCTTGGAAAAGTGGTTCCACTGCCAGGTTTTGTTTCCAGCTGCTCTTCTGCTGAGCAGTTTGGGAAGGTCTGAACATTTCAAGGAAGCACTTGGAAGCTGAGTCTGTGGAGAAAACTGCACTGCATCATCCCCTGCACCATCCTGGTGTTGTTCCTGGCCTCTCCATGCAGGGAAGAGCTGGATCAGGACAGACACCAGGACAGACACCAGGGCTGCCAAGCTCTGCTCAGGCCCTGCCTTTCCGCAGTGTGGAATTTAAGTTCCCTTCTCACTTGATGTTACCTGAGCAACATTCCCTGTTTTTGTCACCCTTACCTGGGTTGTGAAGGAGGGTCAGGTGCTGAGGAGCTGGATCTGGTGCCGGCCCTGGGAGGAGCTCAGCTGCAGTGCTCAGGAAAAGCCCTCATTTTAGATGGTTCCTGAATTTGAAGGCAAGTTCTTCCTCAAACTTTGAGACATGCCTTTGTGATGCTGCTAGCTGATGAAAGTTATTTTTGTCAAACTAAATGAGTTTCTTATTAAAATATTATTTAAATTTTAAATTTGATGCAGTGACACCTTAGCTTTCCCTAATTATTTCTTCCTACATCAAATAGTGAAGCTTTTACTGTGAAAGCATCCAGCCAAATCTTGCTCTTTCCAATCACTGGAACAATAGAGGAGCTTTCTTGGCAGAAACTCCCCACAGCAATTTAGAAGTGAGCTACAAAGAGATGGGAAAAAGTTTTTATCTCACCAGCTGCATCTGCTGATCTGGGACACACAGACAGAGCTGGCTGAGCTGAAGAGAAGCTCTGTTTTCCTGTTCTGAGTTCAGACTGAACTCCCTGGGAAGCCAGGCTGCCTCTTCCCTTGCTGCTGGGGCTTCCTCTGTTCATCTGCAGGATTGCTGTGTGCTCTGCTGCCAGGAGCTCCAGTGCTGCTCAGCACCCTGCACAGAGCAGTTCCTGGGGCCAGCACTGAGGGGATGGGCTGGAGCCCTTAGAGGGCAGCTGGAAGCAGAGCCCACAGCTCTGAAAGAGAGCCTGACACCCTGCAGCAGTCCATTGCTATCAGGCCTAAACCCATGCAGACAGCCAGGAGAATTTGGGCTGCATTTCCCTGTAGCCCTCACTGCCACCATCAACAGCCGTGGCCTAAAAATACCCTGGGCTGAAATACCAACATGGCAAGGTTTGGAATGCAGTCACTGAGCCAAGGCAGCCTGGCCAGACACCTTGGAATGGCAGCAGGGACACAGGGAGAGGTTAAACCTTGCTGCTGGATCAGCCAGGAGCAGCTTGAGGAGTCTCAGCCTGGGCAATGCTCAGCTGAGCCCTGTAAGTACAAGCTCAGTGTCCAGACAGCTCCCACACTGCAGCCAGGCACTCTGTGGGTCCAGGGCTTTGGAAGAGGAGGAGAAAGACTTTGCAGGATGGGATCTGACCATCACCAAGCTCTCCAGGACATACCCTAGGTCGTTCCCAGGAAGGCCACACAGCTGAGGAGTCACTTCAACCCTTAGCAGGGGAAAGGAGACAAAGGAGAGCTGACAGCAGAGAACCAGTGTGCACAGGGAAGGTTTATTCTCATCACTAACACCTGGGAAGTGGTTTGGAGGAACAAAGGAATTGTCAGACTGGGAGGAAAAGCAGGGTTTTTTTCCTCCCATAAACAAGATGGTAGCTGTAAAGAAAACTAAACCACCACAGCTGCTCACAGTGAAGTCCACAGGATTTCTCCAGCTCCACCCACGAGCAAAACCAGCTCTTCCCATTAAATATTAGAATAAATTGCTTTTCTCTGGAACTAGAGCCAGACCAAACCCTACTAGCAGCCACTCAAAGGAAAAGAAAAAAAACCAACAATCTTCTTAATAAAAAGCATAAACCACTTCAGTTCTTGCAAGCACTCTGCTCACAACATCATTCCTGCCCTGCTTCCCCACCCCATTCCAGGGTGCTCCAGGGAAAAAGGACCTCAAGACAGCAGCATTACATGTGTGAAAAGGTGACCAGACAGACTGGGAGGGGACAGGTACCTGCAGACAGACACTGGCAGCCAGCCACCCACTGGGGAGGGCAAACAGCCTCCAGCTGAAACCAGGAGCTTCCCCAAAGCCAGCAGCGATTTTTCAGGACATCTTCCAGCCAAACACTGCATGGGACAAGGGCCCCTTCTTTGGGGGAGCATCAACAGTGTCAGAACAGAGAGGTAGGGCTGAGCTCACCCCTTCTAGCAGCTGGAAGAGTCTCCAAGGAATAACCCCCCATTTGCTATGGCTGTACCACCCACAGGGCTTATTTTGGATTGGCAAAACCCTACAGGTGGATGAGGCTCCCCCTGCCCTGAGTGCTGGCACAGTGAGACCACACAGGCTGCTGGTGACAGGACCAACCCAGGACGTGGCACCTGAGGGGTCTGCAGGACACAGCAGCAGGAAGGGGCTGCTCCCCTCCAGCTCCAGCTGGTCCCAGAGCCTGAGGGGAAGCTGACAGCTGGGACAGGCAGAGGACACTGGAGCCAGAGCCCAAACATGCTTCACTGGGCTCCCAGCAGAGGAACTCACGTGTGTGGTGTGGGCTGCCCTCACCCCAGGCTCTGCAGAGCCAAAGGCTCCTTCTGCCAGCACCCACCTCTGCTCAGGCACGTTTTATTCACACAGGAAATGTGGTTTTTTTCCTCATAAAGTGCAAGAACTTTGCCTCTTACTGACTAGTCAACTAGAAGCATCACAGCCCTCAGAGCAGGGAGCAGCAGGCAGGGGAGCAACACCCCACATTCAGGAGCTCCCAACACTCCAGTCACTTCAGCAGGACCTCTGGCTCAGTTATGGCTCTGTAGAGCACAAAGCCCATCTCATCAATTTCCTCTTCCAAGAGCCCGGAGAACAGGTTGATTTTGGGTTTGAAATAGCAAGGCAGGACTCCTTTCTCCAGAGAGGCCACCAGCTCCTCGAGCACCTGCTGGAACCTGTCAGCAAGGCTCTCCTGTGCCCAGTCCGAGGTGGTGTCACTGAGCTGCAGGATGAGGTGGCTCAGGGGGCTGCCCCCCAGTTTGTGCAGCCTGGGCTGGCGCTTGCAGACGCCGTTGAGGATGCGCAGGCAGAGCTGCCGAGCCCCGGAGTCAGCAGCATCCAGCTCCTTCAGCCTCGACACCTCCGCCCTGTAAAAGCTCTCCAGCCACAGGTTTTCCACCGGTCCTTCAGGAGGAACGGCCAGAAGAACCTTGTCCTCCATTTCCACCACTGGCAAGAGGGTGATGCTCAGATCAACCTGATCGTGTTTGACTTCCAGCTTCAGCTCCCGGGAGGCCACCACGGGGTGGATGGCACAGCCCAGCAGGCCACCGATGGCAGGCCAGTTGATGGAGGCCACCAGCAGCTTGTGGAGGGTCTCGTTGAGCACGCTGGAGGAGAGGTACCTGCCCACCATGAACCTGTCCCAGGGGCTGCACCCACGAGGGAAATAGCCCAGGTCAATCCTCTTGATCATCCAGTACTGGGGGTTGCTCACCACGGTGTCCTCCCCTGAGATGAGGCTCCAGAGCCCGGTGTCGAGGACCAGCGGGAGCATGAGGTGGACGTGGTCGGCTGCCAGCACCTCGAGGCCGTCGAGCAGGGCCCCGCTGAGGGACGGGCGGCCGAAGGGCAGCTCTGGGAATTTGCTCCTCAGGAAGTTCTGCAGTTGGCTGCAGATGCTCCTGGCCAGCTGTGGGACAAGGGACACTTGGAACTCGGGCACGGCCAGCTGGCTGCTGTGTGAGAGGAGCTTCTCCTGCAGCGTGAGGCAGCGCAGGGGGCTGGACTGGACCTGAGGAGCCCCCAGAGGGACAGAGGGGCCCCTGGGATCTGTGGGGAGGGAGAGGAGAAGTCACAGCTCTGAGCACATCATCTAAAACCCTCAGCAGCACAAGGTGGGTGCCCAGCTCTCAGCCCATCCCTCTGGAGGTGACACCGACCTCACCATGGGCCCCCATTGAGCCCACTGATGGTAAGAGCACTTCTCAGCCATGCAGAGCCCAAACCAACCCCAAACCCTGGCTGTTCCCAGCCTCACTCCTCAGCCAGGGATGGGAACCAGGCAAGGGACCTGCTGCCAGGGTCAGAGAATCACAGGATATGCTGAGTTGCAAAGGACCCACGAAAATCACCCAGTCCAGCTCCTGGCCCTGCACAGACACCCCAGCAATCCCACCCTGCCCGTGAGTGTGTTGTCCAAACACTCCTGGAGCTCTGGCAGCCTTGGAGCTGTGCCCATTCCCTGGGGAGCCTGGGCAGTGCCCAAACACCCTCTGGGGGAAGAACCTTTTCCTAACATCCAACCTGACCCTCCCTGACACAGCTCCTGCTGTTCCCTCATGTCCTGTCACTGATCATCAGAGGGATCAGTGCCTGCCTCTCCATCTCCTCACACGAGGATCCTACACACAGTCCTGCTCTGGGGCCATTATCTCAGGACATGCCCTGGACCCAGCTGGGCCAGTTTCCCGCTTGGACAAACGCCATCTCCACGGGCAGCTGGACAAAGCAGCCTTTGTCTGCAGCAGCTCCCAAGCACACCTTCCTGCAGGCACAGCTGACCCAGAAAACGAGCACAGCCAGAGGAAACAACCCCCAACAGCCCTGCCAGGATACCCTGGTGTCACCACAGGTCCTGCTGAGATCCTGTTTCCACAGGCATTGCCTAAAAAGGGGCTGAGGCTCGGGAGCCTCCCAGGAGGGCAGGCTCAGTGGGGTCGGCTTTCCGGACACCGAGCTAAAAATAACACAGAGCTCTGGCAGGGCCACCCAAGCAGGAGCACAGCAAGGTGATCCTCCTGCCCGGGCACCAGAGCCTCACCTGGCACCACAGGCCGGGCTGGAGACAGCAGGGGCTCGCTGAGGTCTTCCCTCCTCTGCTTCTTGGCGGGTTTTGGTGTTGTCTTGATCAATGGCAAGTCCTGCCAGCTGTCCTCCAGGGATTTCTGCTCAGCTTTGGGATCGCCCTCATCCCGAGGGCTGGTGGCTCGGTCGATCAGCTGGAGAGAATAAAAAACCCAAGAGGACAAGTTGTTATCTTTGTTTTCCAAGATTTATGGGTGACAACAGCCCCTCTGGAGCACACGCATGGGAGGGACAGCCCCACTCAAGGCTTCTGCTCAGAAAAACGCCCAGTATGGGGGGGAGCCACAAATGTGCACATCATCTTCATGGAGATTTTACATGGAAAACAGACACCCAAATACAACTTCAGTCCTTTTGGGAGACTAAAGTGCCTTTTGGGGTGGGATAACGTATCCCAAATACTCCAGGCACAGAGGGATACATGCAGCTCCATGCTCACGGCACTGCTGCCAGCACCAGTGCCATTTGTGCCATATGCAAGGAACCATCTCAGGAGCAAACCTGGAGATTTGGGGCACACTGAGGCCAACCCAGCTCTCCTGGGCACCTTTCTGGTGCCCTGATGCCCATCCCAGCCTTACCCTCTTGACAGCCAGCGTGGCGATGGCCAGCACGGCGGCGCCGCTGACGCCCAGCACCAGCCTGGCGTTGGCCAGCAGCACATCGAACACGCTGCCCAGCCCGTCCAGGACGCTGCCCAGCCCGCCGCTCTCCTGCCGCCGGCTCCGCTGCTGCCAAAACGCCGCCATGCTCACCCTGCGGAGAACGGGAGGGTCACCCCGGGCTGGGGGAGCTGGCACCCCGGGACGGGCATAGCCGCGGGGTCTGGGGAACAACGGGTTCCGCTGCTCCGCTCTCCTCCGGGATAAAGGCTCCCGCCGCCGCCGGGACGGCTGGGTGCGGGCAGGGGGCAAGGGTCACCCCGGGGAGCGACACACCGGGGAAGGGACACACCGGGGGAGGAACGGACACCCCAGCGAACGGGCACCCTCGGGAAGGAAAGGGCACCCCAGGGGAGGAAGGGGCAGCCCGGGGAAGGAACGGACACACCGGGAAAGGGTCACCCGCTCCTCACCCAGCCCTACCGCAAAGCCTCGCGGGGCACCGGGGCGGTACCGCGGGAAGGGAGCCCCCCCGAACCCACTGACCGAGGGGGACACCGGCACCGGGACCTGCCCGGGCCCGGCGCTGCCCGCCCGCGCGCGCCCCCGCGCCGCACTCACCGCGCGCCCCCGGCGCGGCCCCAGCCAATGGGGGCGCGGGTAGCGCGGCCCCCGCCCACTTGCGCGCGGAAGTAGCGGCCGGCCCCGCCCAGTCCCCGCGTGCGTCACGGCCGGGGCGGGCCCGGAGGCGGGGCCTGGACGGGGCGGGGCCTGACGGGGCGCGGCGCCGCCTCAGGGTCCCCCCTCCGCCCTTCCGCCATGGCGGCCACCGGCGTCCTGCCCTTCGTCCGCGGCGTCGATCTCAGCGGCAACGACTTCAAGGTGCGGGGGAGAGGGAGCGGGGCACGGCCCGGCACACAGCGCCCCGGCGGCACCGCGCCCCGCGGGGCTGTCAGGCCTGGCTCGGCCCCCAGGGCGGGGGAATCCCGGGCCCGGCCCCGCCCGGGATGGGTGACCCGGGGCAGTCCCGGTCCCGACCCCACGGGAACTGCGGGACTGGGCGATCCCTGACCCCCATTAAGCTGCTATGGTTAAGCAACCTGGCCCCCAGCCTACGGGGTCCCGGAGAGACCGGTGATCCCCGAGCCTCCAGACCCCGATCCCATAGGACTGGGCGATCCCGGCTCCCGATCCCATAGGAATGGGCGATCCCATAGGAATGGGCGATCCCATAGGACTCGGCCATCCTGGCTCCCTATCCCATAGGACTGGATGATCCCAGCTCCCATTCCCATAGGACTGGGCAACCCCAGCTCCTGACCCCATAGGACTGGGCAACCCCATAGGACTGCGCGATCCCAGTTCCCATTCCCATAGGACTGGATCTCCATGGTCCCCAGCTCCCATTCCCATAGGACTGGGCGATCCCAGCCCTCTAGTTCCCAATTTTATGGGCCAGCTTGATCCCAATCCCCACATCTCCCCATCCCCTAGGTCCGGGTCATCACAACCCCACATTTCCCCATCCCATAGCACTGCTCGATCCCAAACCTCCCCTGACCAGAGAGCCTCAATCACACTGAGGTCCCCGGGTCCTCATCCCGAGGGACAGTTCCTCACCCTCCTCCTCCTCCCTGCAGGGCGGGTACTTCCCGGAGCACGTCAAGGCCATGACGAGCCTGCGCTGGCTGAAGCTGAACCGCACGGGGCTCTGCTACCTGCCCGAGGAGCTCGCTGCCCTCCAGAAGCTGGTGAGCCCCGTGGTTTGGGGTGGAATGGGGCTCCCCTGTCCCGCTGGGGCTGTAGGATCTGACAGGATCCCTGCCAGCCTCGTGGCTCAGCAGCAGATGCTCATGTCTAATTATAGCACTGAGCTACAGTGTGTGGTTGAAATGGGATGCAGGAGCTGTCAGGAGTGGGGTTGGCGTGGCCTTGCACTCAGTTTCACCTTGTTTTCCTAGAAAACCAGATTAAAAACCATGCTTAGATCCTCTACCCTGTAGCAGAAGGGAAAGGTGATGGTTACAATGGGGACAATCAAGGCTTTTGGGGCTTTTTTTCCCTTCTCCTTTGCTAAAGTGTATAAAAAGCAGGAGCTGGCTTTGGTTTTTGGGTGGTTCAACCAGGCCCTTGGTGGAGTTGTGGCTCAGCCTGGCTTTGGTGGTGTCCACAGCACATCAGGGACCTCCTCCTGTCAGTGCCAGACAAACTCAGGGCTTTAAACGCTGCCAGGAGTCCCCATCCCTGTGCCAGGTGCAGGGAATCCCTCAGTGCCAGCCCTGCCAGCCCTGCCAGGTGCTCGGGGGCCACAGCAAGACTGAAATCCTGGCATCCCACCCACAGCCTGACAGTGCCTTGTGTTCCTGAGCAGGCAACAGCCGGGCTGTGATGCTCAGAGCAAAACATTTCCCCAGGGAAATTCCTCCCACCCCAGCAGTGCCCACGGCTGCCTGTTCCCAGTGAGAGGCACTTCCAGGGACTGGGATCTGTGTGCACAGGGACTGTGGGGGCCAGCTCTGCGCATCCCAGAGCACCCCAAACCCCACAGCAGGGCTGACGTGTCCTCATCCCCGGGGGATGAGGGATGTGGAGGCAGCACAGGCACACTGGGCCAACCAACCAGTTTGGGACTGGGGTTGTGCCAGCAGCCCTGTGTGTGACAGAGCTTCACAAGTCCCCAGCTCTCCTGGGATGGAGGAGCCTCCCCATCAATCTAGGGGCTCAACCCTTGCCCTGCAAGCCCCAGCTCCTCTCTCTGCTCACTGAGGCTTGTCTGGGCCTTCCCTGCAGGAACACCTCTCTGTGAGTCACAACAGCCTCACCACACTCCATGGGGAGCTCTCCGGCCTGCCCTGCCTCCGGGTGAGTGTCCCCCCCTTCCTCAGGGTCCCCAGGCACCTCTGGGGTCTGAGGGCACACAAAGATCATACCTGGGCACCCTGGGGACTGCATTCCTGCAGCTGCATTCCTGCCTCTCTCCCCTTTGCAGGCAATTGTGGCTCGTGCAAACAGCCTGAAGAACTCAGGAGTCCCTGATGACATCTTCCAGCTGGATGACCTCTCAGTGCTGGTGGGTGCAGAGTCTCCTCAGCTGATGCAGGAACCAGCTCAGACTCCTGGGTCCCATTCCTGCACCTTGGTGACTCCTTGGGAGCACCAGCCCCAAGCCCATGGCTGAGCTCCAGGGCAGCTGGCTGGCAGCAGGGTGACCCTGTGGCAATGCCTCCTTTAAAGGCTGATGCCATGGATGGGCTCCCTGGTTCCCTGTGTGCTGGTCCAGCTGCTGCTGTGCCCCTGGAGGTGCCCCCCAGTCCTGAGGTTTGGGTGGTGGTGGCTGGGGGTGACAGTGGCTTTGTGCTCCCATTTTCCCAGGATCTGAGCTACAACCAGCTTACAGAGTGTCCCAGGGAGCTGGAGAATGCCAAGAACATGCTGGTCCTTAACCTTGGCCACAACAGGTGGGTCCAGGCTAGGGTGACCATCACCCCCTCCTGGCCATGGCCACCTCTACACTTTGCTCTGGGTCCTGCTCTCTGCAGGAGGGAGACCCAGGGCTGGTCCTAGGCCATCCTGAATTTCCCCATATCCCTGCAGCATCGACACCATCCCCAACCAGCTCTTCATCAACCTGACGGACCTGCTGTACCTGGACCTGAGTGACAACAAGCTGGAGAGCCTCCCACCGCAGATGAGGCGCCTGGTGCACCTGCAGACCCTCATCCTCAACAACAACCCCCTGCTGCACGCCCAGCTCCGGTACAGCCCCGCTCCCCAGGCTGCCAGGGCTGGCACTGAGGCTCCTGGCACATCCTGACCCTCTCTGTGCCCTCTGGCTCTCCCTGCTCCTCAGGCAGCTCCCGGCCATGACAGCCCTGCAGACCCTGCACCTGCGCAACACCCAGCGCACGCAGAGCAACCTGCCCACCAGCCTGGAGGCCCTGGTGAACCTGGCAGGTAGGGCTGGGGCACCCACAGAGCCCTCCAGGGGCTCTCCCAGCCCCAGTGGTGGTCTGGCTGGTGGTGTGACCCCGTTATTTCTTTCCCCAGACGTGGACCTGTCCTGCAATGACCTCAGCCGTGTCCCCGAGTGTCTCTACACCCTGGGCAGCCTGCGGCGCCTCAACCTCAGCAGCAACCAGATCACAGAGCTGTCCCTCTGCATCGACCAGTGGACCCAGCTGGAGACCCTCAACCTGTCCCGCAACCAGCTCACCTCCTTACCTGTACGTCCCTGCCCTTGTGTGCCACCCCTGCTCATGGTTCTGTGGTTCTCCCTCACGCCACCATCTCCCCCTTCCCCAGTCGGCCATCTGTAAGCTGACCAAGCTGAAGAAGATGTACCTGAACTCCAACAAGCTGGACTTCGATGGGATCCCCTCGGGCATTGGCAAGCTCACCAACCTTGAAGAGTTCATGGCAGCCAACAACAACCTGGAGCTCATCCCTGAGAGCCTGTGCAGGTAAGGAACACACAGCTGGGTCTGCTGCGTCCCCAGGAGGGGACCACAGAGGTTGTGTGGTCACAGGTCACCAGCATCACTGTCCCACAGGTGCTCAAAGCTGAGGAAGTTGGTGCTGAACAAGAACCGCCTGGTGACTCTGCCAGAGGCCGTCCACTTCCTGACAGATTTGGAGGTGGGCACCCAGAACCTCTCTGCCTTGGGCTGGCTCCACCACAGCCCCAGCACCCCCCTGGGACCCCAGGGCTGTAGGGTGGGCTGGATGAGGTGAGGGCAGGGGAGCTCAGGGCCAGTCCCTGCAATCTGCCCCATGGTTCAGCCCAGGCAGGCCGTGGAGCTCCCCCACATCCCCTCATCTCACCGAAGCCTGAAGTGCTCCAGAGGTCTCCATGCCATGCCACACTCCAATGTCCCTGTGAGCAGGTACTTCAGCGAGGTGTCTGTGCCCTCCCTGCAGATCCTGGACGTGCGAGAGAACCCCAGCCTGGTGATGCCCCCGAAGCCGGCGGATCGCTCCTCGGAGTGGTACAACATCGACTTCTCCCTGCAGAACCAGCTCCGCCTGGCCGGCGCCTCCCCCGCCACCGTCGCTGCTGCTGCTGCGGGTACACCTGCAGGGAGGGGTGCACACAGCCCCTGCCTTGGCATGGCCCTGGCAGAGCCTGGGCAGCCAGCCCTGCTCCACAGGGTGCCCCTCTCACCCCGTGCCCGTGTCCCCAGGGAGCAGCACCAAGGACCCGCTGGCCCGCAAGATGCGGCTGCGGCGGCGCAAGGACTCTGCCCAGGATGACCAGGCCAAGCAGGTGCTGAAGGGGATGTCGGATGTGGCCCAGGAGAAGAATAAGAAGATAGAGGTAGGGTCTGGGGAGGGAAAGGGACCCTGAGGGCATCCCCATGTCCCTGGCCTACCTTGGGTGCTGGCAGGGTTCTGGTTGTCTCTAATTTGACCCGTTCCTGTCCCACAGGAGAGTGGGGAGGCGAAGGCGCCAGACCTGAAAACGCGGCGCTGGGACCAGGGCCTGGAGAAGCCCCAGCTGGACTACTCAGAGTTCTTCAGTGAGGACGTGGGGCAGCTGCCTGGCCTCTGTGTCTGGCAGATCGAGAACTTTGTGCCCACGCTGGT